TTTTGAGAGGTGTGTTTATAGGAAGCGTCTTCTACCTACGTAACGTATTACTAGCATGGGTTGGGTTTGAAAAAATCAGTGGTAAAATATATATAAAGAATTATACGAATTTTGTCTAATAAACAAACACGTGCAATGCATGTCAAGGACATTTATTTGCACGAACATGAACCGGACAACAATGACATACGTGTATTAACCTTATCTTCAACCACTTAAAAATATATATTTAAAAGATTATATTTAAACCGTTAATATCTCCATACCTAAACAATGTAAAATTAGAAAAACTCACGAGACTTTTTAAATTCCACATTATTTAGATATTAACGTTTTTTAATATTTAGATATGGCATTAAAATAGCATTATTAAGTGATTAAATATAAAATTAAGATATACACCACACACATTTATTTTTGGTTGCGATAAAAAAAAGGTACTAATTTAAAAATTAATAAAATATAAATATTATTTTCGGAATTAAGCCAAATAAATGATATTTTTGGTACAAAATTCAAGTCCCTTAATCACGTGGCAGACAAGCAAGCATTCACCGACAAACAAGAGAATCTTACCACTGTTACTGAGCCCAACATCAGATCGATGAAGAGCTGAACCAAAGCCGTTTAGTAAGTATGCCTACAATTTTAGGTAGAAATTTCACACTCCCACACTGTATATCTCGTGAGATGCTTGAGATCGCCAAGCCGCCACCACCCCTCTAATCTCCATCACCAGATCCAAATACCCCCATGTCTACTACTAGCACTACCTTGTTTGTTGCCTTGGTTCCATTCCTCGTTTTCCTGTCTAATTTGCAAACTGTGACCAATGATCCTGCAGTTTCAGCCTCTCCACCTGTTTCGCCGCATGGGAATTCACCCAATATGTCTTCATTTTTCCCGACTGAGGCTCCACCGCAATGGCCGCGTTCAGAAGTCTTTGCACCCGTACCGAGCTCCGGCGAGTTCGTGGGGAAGATTTCAGGCTGTTCAGCTAAGTCCGATGGTGCCATGGCTAATCTTTTGCTGCAACTCTTTATCTTGTTTGTCATGAGATTAGTCTCGTCTGTTTAACCACATAAACATATATGTAGTTTATAATAAGTAATGATCTTGAACTCCCTTTTCCTGATTTCATTTATGTTTTTAATTATTTTTTTTAGTTTTTATTAATTACCTCAATATATTTTAATTTATATTATAATTGATATTATAAATGTATCTTAAAATGTTTTATAATTTATATTATCATTAATTTCAATTATAATTTAAATATTAAAATTTATATTGATGTTAGGTGATTAACCTTTACCCTTTTGGATCTAGTTTTGAGCCTTCCCTCAAGTATTTCTGATTTTTTTTTATTACCAATAAGTGGTTTAGAGTTAGTAATTATTTATTGTACTATTTGATTTTGATTTGCGTGAGATTTTATGTTTGAATTTTTAAAATTGTGATTTTGGCTTTAGATCGAACAAATAGTTAGCATATGGATGGTGATGTACGTCTTTTTTCTTTATGGTAAGAAAAGATTGAAACTACTTTAAACTAACTTCCACTACTATTAGTTCCATCCTCGCATAGGATTGTTAGGATTGCTTGTGGAGGCAACGTCCATTCCTTTCCTTCAAAGTCATCTTTCTAGGTCATCTTTGCCATGCAATCTGCTAGTTTATTGGCTTCCCTCCGAATCTGTGAGATTGTGACTATCCAGTTTCTTTCCACCAAGTAACGTATGTGTTGTAGGATAGACGGGGCTATTGCCCTTTGTACGTTCTGTGTTAACATCCGATAAACTTCAGCATTGTCTGTCTCTAGGATTACGCGTCTCATCCCTATTTTCCATGTTCAGATAAGCTTTAAAAAATCCCCCATAGTTCCGCTTCCACCAACGAACATATTCCGATTGTTTTTGCGAATCCTATCATCCACTCGCCATTGATGTTCCTAATTACTCCTCCGTATGCCGTGTATCCATCTCGTTCGTCTCTTGCGCCATCTACATTTACTTTTGCCCATCATTCCCTTGGTGCCTTCCATCGACTCGTCGTTTGTGCCTCCGACACATCCCATATTTCTTGCTCTAGCCGCTGATTCCATGGCTCAGATTCCCTCCATTTGGATTTGTTTGCTTTGCTCTAACACTGATTGTCTCCCCATTTTCACTGGATCAAAGGCATGTAAATTTCGGTGTTTCCAAAGTGTCTAAAGTAGTGCACCGAACATTAAATCCCATTCCTTTTCATCAACCGCAAAACAGCTTGGTTGCAGCAGGTTGGTTAAAATCCGCTTTTTAATACCCAAGGTTAAAAATTCGGACAGCTTCTCTTGTTGAACAAGTCTCTTCCAGGCTTCCAATGCAAGCGGACAGGTTCTAAAAAGATGATTAATTGTTTCCTCCGTCGCTCCACAAAGTCCACATTTCGCTTGTGTGTCCATATGACGTCTTACACGTTCGCTATTTGTTAGTAGTTTTCCGCTTGCGAGTAGCCATAAGAAGATCTTTATTCTTTGTAACCCTCGATATTTGGCAATAGTTTGCCATATCTTCTCGGTCGGTCCTGAGTAATTTTCCGTCTGAATCTGGTATGCAGAACAAACAGTGAACTTTCGATTTGGTTGCCATTTCCATCCTGGGGTATCCATCTGTTGTACTTGCTTCAGGGTCATCGTAGCCTTTAATCTATGGATTATTTGTACGGGTAGTGTCTCGTATATGATTGGCCATCTCCATTTACCTTGTTCATCTATCATTTCTGCCACCGTTGTCGCTGGTAAGTTTGAGCCGTCTTGCTGGTTTAGTAGATGGTTTTTTAAAGGACCAATATCACTTAGCCACGGGTCTCTCCAGAAGTCGATTGACCTTCCATTGCCCACCGTCCAAACTAGGCTTGACTTTACGTCGCTCCAAACCGTACTCACCCCTTTCCATAACCGCGAGCAATTCCTCAGGATTATATTATCAGGAACGAGTCCCCTCCATTTATATTTTGAACGCAACACCTGTGCCCAGAGTTTATCTGGTCGGAGGACTAACTTGAATGTTATCTTCATAAGGAACGCATCACTTTGCTATTCCAAGTGTTTAAAGCCAAGGCCGCCTTTCAATATAGGCTCGCATAGCACATTCCAACTCTCCAAACTAATTCCTTGTCTCTTTTCTGTTTTGCCCCAAACAAATCCCCTAATAATCTTCTCGATTTCCAAGCAAGTTCCTTTCGGTAATTGTGTCGATGGCATAGAATAATAGGGTATGAAAGAAAGCATCGACTTGGCTAGTGTGATTCGACCTGCAAGCGATAATATTTTTACCCCCCATCCAGTAAGTTTGTCCCGTACTTTTTTCACTAAAAATTGATACGTTGCTTTGGTAGCTCGATTGTGCAATTAAGGTACCCCTAGGTATTTGCCTAGATCACCAACCTCCGCAAACCCACACAGATTGTTGACTGTTTCCCTACAATTGCGTTCCACGTTTTTTGAATATAGAATATTGGTTTTGGTTAAGCTTACCTTTTGGCCTGACACTTGAAAGAACTCATGCAAGATATCTTTAATGGTCTCCATTTGTTTGCTCGAAGCTTTTGCGAATAGCACCATGTCATCGTCGTCGTCGAAAAGGAGGTGAGATTTTTTGTCCTTTTCTAGCCATTCTAATTTATCATTATAGTAGATTCAATTTATCAATTTCGCCCATGTTGTATTTTCGCATCAATTTAGCTTCGAAGTTGTTCAATTATATTATTCTATATTCTACTTCTAACTTAAAACCCTAAATTATAAATACTAAATCATGACTTTGTTACCCTTAAACCCTAAATACCAATTTAAAATTTAAAATTTAAGGTCTTAAGTTATGGGTAGGGTATAAAATGATGCAATTAAACAACTTCGAGACTAAATTGATGTAAACATACGATAGAGGCGAAAGTGATAAATTGAGTTTACTAAAGGGGGCAAAGGAGACCCTTCAGCCAAAAAATAATGAGCAGATGCAGCTGATTTACCTTCTTAACGTGTGATGGCATGGAAGTATTGGGATTAACAACTGCAACTTTTATCCACATTTGCATTTCTTCTGTATGTGCATACAAATTATGTTTTCAGCTGTAGTTGGTAATGTTAGTTTGATTTTTGATTACCAAATGACACTGGAACGCTGACCTGCCATTATTAGAAGCAAACCAATGTCTTACTCAATTCCGAAAGCAAGGAACTAGCAGCGTCGTTTCTGATTGTTAGGATGTAATTGAATCATTTTGAATGAATAAATATTTATCTTTAAATATGTACGTGTTTATTAAGAATTTTAAGATTTTATTTATTTATAATGATATGTTTGTATTTGTGTGTTTCTTTAATTTTTGTAATGTACTTGTTTAATGTTCAAAAATATATATTTACTTAGCATGTTCACAAACGCTAAATGAATATGTTCGTGCACGATTAAAAATCTAATCGTAAATAATAAACATGCTGCAAATTAAAATATTTATTATATATATATAATAATTAAATATAAATATTAATAATTATATCAGAAAGACGTAAATTAAGTATGTATGATTTTTTTAAAATATTTTTATAATTTGACTCATGTAGAGGAGTCCTTGGATCAGAAATCGCAATACTTGGGATCTTAACTTCAATTACTATTGGTGACTCAACCCACCCCACAGAAACAAAGTAAGAAACACAAGTGGATGTAAACAAACGAAAACCATGAGCTATAATAGAAGCAAGCAATGTATTCAATTGATAGAGTAATGGTAGAATAATATCTTCTTTTGCTTGTTGACTTAGACTAGCGCAGCATGATTCTAGTTGGTATGGATACTTAAACCATGGATCAGTTTCGTAAGATTGCTGCAGCGAACCAAAGACTTGTTCTCTGGTTCCACGTCCATTGTAATTCATGGAATTCATATTCATTTGCCTTTTCTCAATCTATTTGCTTTGGTATAAATAGTCGAGAAACGTCTTCGTTTGAGTTCAAGCTGTCGAGAAGCATTTTTGTTTGAGCTCAAGTTGTTGATCGAAAGTGTCCCTGCTTAATTGCATTGTAAAAATGGAAACCCTGGTTAAGTACATGTGCGTTCTCTCGTTTCTTGTGAGTATGACCATTGCAGGGCTCAACGGAGTCGAGGGAACCGGTTACTATTACGGTCCGTGTGGGAAACATGACATCGAGAAGGAGGCTGAGAAGTTGGAACCATGTGCATACGCAGCACAGCATCGGAGAGCCCCGGTTTCCGAGCATTGCTGCACCGTAATGGAGAAAAAGGTCAAGAATCCAGCCTGCCTTTGCGCTCTTCTGTTTTCTCAAACAGCATACAATGCCGGAGTGGGGCCGGAAATTGCAGTGACCATTCCAAAACGCTGCGACATTGCCGACCGCCCTGTTGGTTACAAGTGTGGAGGTACAAATCGCATACTGCATTACCTTTACTCGTTTTATTTTCAGTGCATAGTTAATGGCTTTATGGTGATTGTTTCAGCAATTGTAATGGAACTATTGTTTGTTTTTGGCAGCTTTCACTCTACTTTAACTCTGAAGACTCGTATCGGCAGTATTAGTTTATGTTAAACAACATCTGCACCTGTATGTTTCAATAATAAGTAAGATGTGCACTTGTTTCTTTAAATAATAATAAGTTAAAGGATACTTTACTTTGGATAATCAAGTAAAATCTGCATTTGTATGTTTCAATAATAAGTAAAATGTTTATGTTAGGCCATTGAATAATTTGAGACTGCAATTCTTTTTTCGGCCAATTGGGTTTGGAAAAACAGAATATTTTCTTTGCATAATCCAATACTAAAACTAAAAGCTAGAAACTTCCAATTTAAATTCAACGACTCAAGCCAATGGAACAATAGCAGGAATAAAAGGAAGAGGACAGCATCAGATTGGTCCTCTTGGTAATGGTGATGACATTGTTTACTAGTTCCTTCGAGGTGGCAAGTCATTACATCTCGTATCATTGACACACCGTCTCCTCATATGGTTTCCAATCATCTCCTCCACCAGCACATTACTATCATTTCTTCTTCTTCTTTTCTGGTTAAAAAATGGCTACAAGGATGAAATTAGAAAGAGCAATGATGAACAAATACATGAACATATTTGAAATTGAATTTAAAATCTTAGACTAGTACCGAAACGAAGTCGATTAGAATCAATCTTACTTACCAAATTTAGGGTCAAACTAATATAGAAAATTGATATTGAAGATTTTCAAACAAATGACATATTTCGGCCTAATTATTCGTATCAAACAAATATTAAATGAGGATCTACCCCTATTTTCTACCAATGACTCCTTAGCTGAAAATTAAATATATTTTTTAAATATTTAAATAAATAAACGAAATACTTTTCATTGTTTTAATTACATTCTAATTCTAACTTATAAAAAAATCTCATAATAACTCTTGTAAAAAAATTTATTATTAAATTATGTCACATTGAACATGTTGGTAAACCAATACATATATACAAAATATTAAAAATATATATACACAACCAGAACAAACCTTTTATGGATGGGATAGTTTAAGGGAATGTTTAAATTTCTAAAATAAAATATCAAATACCAAATAGAACAACATAAATATTCTTATCATATTATTTAACATCTTACTGATAATTTATTTTGGGTTTAAAACCAAATTCTGAATTGAATTAGTATTCACTTGATCCGATTCGTGTATCCTTCAACCACAATCTCAACTTTAGGCACGGCTAACCAAATTATGAATGCACGTTGTTTAGTTCCCCAGAAGCCAGAACCGACTCTGCTACCAAACAACCTAACTTGGTCCATGTCCGCCATAACCTACAAAATATTGTTCTCTTCGCCTTATTATCCTTCAATACTTTTGTCTGCATAAAACACCACACTGGATGAAAATGAGGTGATGCCTTAAATTCCACCACCAACTCTAACATAAAACTGTGATGGGAGAGATTCATGGCTCTCCTCCTCTTTAGGGTCATGGGCTCATGGCACCCGACCATCCGCATATATTCAACACAGCTGAGCCCTTTTCTGATGGCAGGACCAGCCGGAGTCCATGATCTCCAAACAGACATTACATTTCTAAAATCACTCACCATCTCTTATTCACTTCATTACGTCAAAACAAACGAACACTGAAAAGGTTAAATGTAAAAAGTTCTAAATTTTAAAACCGACACCGGACTAATTTCTTGCATTACCTGTTTCAATCAAGTCTAAGCTTCAGAAGTAAGAATTAGTTGATTCATCTTGCACTAAACTCATTTAATATCCATCTAATTATGAAATTCTGCAAACAAACAAGTTCTAAAACAACAAAAGCAATTTAAAAAAAACCTTTCGAACTGCGAACGGAAACTAAAGTCCGTGTATTCAGCTCAGCTACAAATCCTTAGCGCTTCTTCTTGCTTGCTTTTGCACCACTGGATTTTGATGGGGTAACCAACAGGTAGACGAAAAGAGCCACAATCGATATCACAGAGATTTGAGATCCATACTTGGCCAGCAATATCTGCACAAGATAATGCTCACATTAATTTTTGTTGTACTCCATAAAGCAGGCTAAAAAGTTTAAGAACTAAAAGGATGGCTCATCAAGGATCCATCAATATTCATTCGTTGTGTAAGAAGAAACACTAAACCACTACAAGTTAATCCCAGCAACAGATTTAGAAGCATGACTATTTTGAAAAATACAGGAATAACCATTCATACCTTAGCCTTCAGTATTTAGTCCCAGCCGATGAAAGATTAACAAAAAGAAGAAAAAAAAAACAGGCCTTAGTAACATGGAAAGAAGGATAAAGACATTCAATAAATTCGAATTCTTTACTTATTGTTATTCGAAACAGAACTTACCCAGTCAAGCTTCTTCTCGGGAGGTACTTCGGCAAGTATATCTAACGCCAAGAGTGAAGTTGAATATGCCTCCTAAAACACCGAGCAAATTAAAGCATCAAAGCTTGTTCACACTTTTTTCCCCTTTGCTTTGGCTTATATTTGAAGAATAGAAAATAGACTGTTATGGATCTCAAACCTGTGGAGCAGTCTTTGTGGGAATGCGGAAAGTGATAACTGCAGGGGCACCATAGAACATTCCTTGTCTTTTGGCCTCTAATTCAAATGAATGTGACAGAACACCACCACTGCAGATCGTAGAGTTTTGGAAAATTAATTAAAAGATATAATCCATAACAAAAAAATTAAATCGAATTAACAGAAACGAAATACTCACGCATCAAGTTTCTCCCATGACTGTGAAATATTACTACTGATGACATCAAATGCATCTTGGGGCCAGCTATGATCCACGAGAGTCACATCATATGCTGTCCTGAATTTTTTTCCAGAAAGATTTTCCTCAAGTAAGAAAAAAATCTTCACATAGGAGCATAGTAAAAGGGGAAAATATATGAAACAGGCAATATTTTAGGGAAGAAAAACATGCAAGAAAATAAAATAAAATTTCAAAGTAACAGTTCCAATTTTACCAGATTTGCATCCCTCTCAGATCCAAGTACCGAAAAAATAAAATAAAAAGGTCGATTTAAATCGACTTATTTTCTCTATGTTCTCTAAATTGAATCATCGGCAAAAACAAAGTAAAATTTGATCTTCTCTCAGACATGCAAATCAGATGCTTAGATGAAAAGCCTAAAACGAAACTGTGAGCTACATGAGATAGTAAGGATAGGTAAAATTCAGGCATAATCAATTCAGAGCTTCAATATTTCCATCTCAATGGAGTAATTAGAGCTCGATCGGAACTAAAAGGATAAAAAATGAATAAAATGAAAAGAAAGACGCACGAGAAGCCTTGGTTGTAGATGTCGATGGTGACGGAGACGCGTTCTGCGCCGGATTTGAGTCTAGTGAGCGATGCCTTCTTGTGAGCGATGATGAAGGGGGAGTCGCCGACGGCGGTGGCTGCAGATATCAAGAAAAGAGCAATGAATGCATTGAGCGGTAGATTTGCCATAAGCGTCGCCATGAATCTGCATCGACTTCGATAAGAAATGGAAGTAGTTAAATAAAGGTTTGCGAGAGCAGGATTCATCTATTTTGTTTGAAACGGTACCGTTTCGGTTTTTTACCAATATGGACGGAATAGATCCTACGGAACTATGATTTTATATATAACGACACTAAATCAGTAAATCCCATATGAAAATCTAGTTAAAAATCTTTTAAAGAGTTTACATAAAATGATTTTTAATGATTTTAATATAAAAATAAATGAATAAACTATACAATTTTTTTCTCTAAAGGTGTTTAAATTAAATTTCAGTTAATCTAAGTGTTTAACACTTTCATTTAGGTGCACAAATTGTTACCGCAATTAAATTTTGTTGTTAAAATATGTGTCGACTTTATAATTAAAATTTTATATTTTTAAAAAAATAAAATTTTTAAAATTACATGAGTCTGACATGTGTCACTTAACGATAAAATTTAATGTTTGTTAAGGTTAAGACACCTAAAAGTGTAACATTGGAAATGTTAGGCATATGGATTGATTGAAAAAAAAGTTTAAGCAACAAAATAAGAAAAATTGTATAGTTTGGACACTTAATTTTATAGTATGCATTTTTTAATTAAAAATTTACATAAAATATTGAGTTATTTTTAAGTATAAAATCAAGTCTGATCAGGATTAAATTTAGAGTGAAAATTTCTCAATTGGACCCGGTAATTGTATAACCATCCCTTATATATTTTTAGATAATTACAATAATATTTGTTTTTAGATTCTTTTAATTAAAACCCTATCTTACCAAATTATATATATATATATATATCGAGTCGAACGTAAATTTTTATCTTAAAAATTGAATCAAATTTCGAGTCATAAAATCTCTCTAAACTCAAATCGAATCGGCTGTCAAACAAAAAATATAATACCCAGATCGAACTCGAATCAATTAAAACTTAACCTAACTCGACTCATACCTATCCCTAAATATAATGTAGCGGAGTGCCTAAGTTTATACTTTAACAATGTATCAAATTCAAATTTGGATTTATATTTTCATGTTGTGTCTTGTATTTTTTTTCTATATAGAGGAGAGAAGTTACCATAATTGAATTTGGAAGTTAATATTAATTATGATTAAAGTGGTGTTTTCTTTATCAGTATATAGATTTTTGAATTTTTAAGTACATAAATTTAATTTCCCTTAAGTCCATTTCGTATCGGATGAAAATTAATAAATTCAAACAATGCAAGTCTTAGTAAATGCCTTCAAGCTATATAAACTGTGTTGATTCCAGGAACAGTTATACATATGAAAAGTTTCATCCAGTTAATTAACTTAATTAAAATTAAATGGCTTCTAATTCATGATTTTAAGAGATTCATGACAGAGAAAAATAGGTGATTTGATATTAAATGCTTAATAAAATATGAAATATTGTTTATGCATTTTCATAGTAAAAAATGTTCTTTGAAGCGAACGAAATAAATTTGACTGTTCTTGAATCCTGCAAGATAAATGCAAGTTTGAAACGAGTCTATCGAGTTATATTGAATTATCTTAGTGAAAAAAAAGGTGTTTTTCTCCTTAAAACATTCTGATTCGAATAATTACATTCACATGAT